TTGTTATTCATTGAAGGGTTTGAATCCAGGTTGAAACATTATGTTTTATTTGTTCTTCCAGATTAACAAAAAGGTAAAATACTTTAATTTGTCTAACGTTTCGGTTTCCTAAACGGAAACCATTATCAAAGACTATGAATCTATTAAAAGTTTTCCGTTACTATCTTGCGTCAGATGCAACCTTGCGAGATTACTGACGCGTGCGTTCAAATCGGTCTGCGCGTGCACGTTCACTAGCTATTAGACTATAGTACGCGCCTGGCATATCGCGGCAAAAGTTAATGCTGTTGTTTTCGCTCTTGGTATGCCAGCTCTCGAGAAACATTCTTTCGTTAAAGTTAGTAGCAAATTCTAAGCAAGTAGCTCCTTCCCAATTCATTCGATGTTTTGTTGACAAATGATGAACCGCTATTTTGTTGCTTGTATCTTTATTTGCTACGCTGCGCTTGTGTTCTTTAATTCTGCATTCCAGAGTTCTCCCAGTTTCTCCGACATAGCTTGCAGGGCATTCTGCGCACGGTATTTTGTAAACTGCTCCTGTTCGTGATATAACAGGTGATGGATCTTTTATCTTCGTAAGGACATCCCGCAGCGTCGTTGAAGGTTTGTGGGCGACTGTAATGTTGTGGGGTCTCAAAATCCGTGCAATTCTTTCTGATGTGCCTTTGACGTATGGAATGGTAGCAATGACTTTATCGTCCTCATTCGTGTTGGATGCCTCTGTTGTTGTTCTATTGGCTTGCTCGGTAACGCTGCTTACAAAAGGTTTCGAGTAGTTGTTCACGTCAAATACTTCATTCAAGTGTTTCAATTCTGCTTCGAGATCTTCATTTGAACTGGAAATTACGTGGGCTCTTTTAACTAAGGTTTTAATGGTCGCTGATTTGTGCGAGGCTGGGTGGTATGACGAATCATCTAACAAACGGTCCGTACTAGTAGGTTTCCTGTATACGCTTGTTCTAATGGTGTTGCCTGATCTGGTGACCAAACAGTCCAAGAACGCTAATTGCCCGTTCTTTTCTGGCTCAATTGTAAATTGGATGCTCGGATTCTGCTGATTAAGGTGGTTAAGAAAATCAACTTTTTCGTCTTTCTTCAAACTTGTTATCGTGTCATCAACATATCGATACCAGAATGGTAGTGGGTTGGGATAGGTTGCTAATTCCTTCTCTTCCAAACGCTGCATTACGATCTCTGCTACGACAACTGAGACCGGGGAACCCATGGCCGTGCCGTGAAGCTGCTGGTAGAAATTCCCGTCGCAATGGAAAAAGGTTGATTCAAGGCAGAGGGTAAGAAGGTCGATGACTTCGTCTTTAGGTATAGGTAGGTCGTCGCTGTAATTAGCTAACGCTTCTTTCACGTTTACGATTGCTAGATCTAAAGGGATACTCGTAAATAGAGATTTCACATCAAATGACACGAGTTCGTGATCTTCGCTAATTTGCGCATTCTTGATTCTGGTTATAAATGCTTCGGAATTTATCAATCGATGCTCGGATTGTTCTGTAAGAGGTTTAAGGATGTTAGCAAGATACTTAGACAGTTCATACGTCGGTGATGAACAGAACGAGACGATTGGTCTAAGTGGTATATTTTCTTTGTGGATCTTTGGCAGACCGTACAGCTTAGGAGTTTGAGCAACTGAACATGATAACCTCGAGTATAACGGTTTATTTAAAATGTTTGCTAGATGCAAAGGGAATAATTTCTCGTTAAGTTTCCGTTGTAATTTCTTAGAGGGGTCCCTCTTAAGTTTCTTATAAGTTTTATCATCCTTAACAAGATTATCCATTTTCTCGCGATATTCTGCTTTATTCATAACTACCGTTACTCGTCCTTTATCTGCTGGTGTGATAACAATTGTGTCGTCTTTCCGCAATCGAGACAGCGCTAGTTCTTCGTCCTTACTCAGATTGTTTACTGGCTTCACACTTGATTGGAGTGTGGACGCAACTTTAGCTCGAATGGTTTCTTTCGTCTCAATAGATAGATCTTGCTTTTGTCTAATGGCGGCTTCTACGCTTGCGAGTATTTTCGCTGTTGGTAAATGTTTTGGCGCTAGGGAGTGTTTCATTCCATAAGATAACACGCTCATTTCATTCGTATCTAAAACTCTGTTCGAAATATTCTTAACCCAGTTTTCTTGCGGTTTTTGTTTTCGGCTTGATTTTTCATACAATGCGTTTAATTTCTTTCCCAATTTTTCCCGTGTTTCTGCTTTAACTCTTTCTCTCCGTTCGTTTGAAATTTTCTTTACTATTTTCAGTAAGTCTTCAGGAATGCGTTCATGAAGATAATGTTCTATCTTTTTACATGCCTTCTCGTGAATATTTATTCTCTTGTGGCAATCATTAATCCTTAGGTTAATTAGTTTGATGCTGGTTTGTCTTACCGTTCTTATTCCTTCTCGTGTGTTTAGAGGTGACTTTAGTCTTAGGCTTGCTGGGATTAATCCGTTTTCTTTACATCTATGATTGAAATATAACTGCTCTTTGATCTTCGATATGTCCTTCTCGCGTTGAATGCATTCTTTCGCAAGATGTAATGTCTTTCGTCCATACTTTTGTAATTCATTGAAGGGTTTGAATCCAGGTTGAAACATTATGTTTTATTTGTTCTTCCAGATTAACAAAAAGGTAAAATACTTTAATTAAAGTATTTTACCTTTTTGTTAATCTGGAAGAACAAATAAAACATAATGTTTCAACCTGGATTCAAACCCTTCAAAATCATTTAAGCGACTCATTGCACGCTTATTGTATGATATAAAGCAGTTACTACTATTATGTAACAAAACTTTTAAGCGACTCATAACTCATTGCACGTTTATTGTTTTGTTATAAAGCAGTTACTATTATTATGTAACAAAACTTTTAAGCGACTCATTACACGTTTATTGTTTTGTTATAAAGCAGTTACTACTATTATGTAACAAAACTTTTAAGCGACTCATTACACGCTTATTGCTTTGTTACAAAGCAGTTACTACTATCGAAAACTTTTAAGCGACTCATTACACGCTTATTGTTTTGTTATAAAGCAGTTACTACTATTATATGTAACAAAATTTTTAAGCGACTCATCACATGCTTATTGTTTTGTTATAAAGCAGTTACCACTATTATGTAACAAAACTTTTAAGCGACTCATTACATGCTTATTGTTCTGTTATAATGCAGCTACTACTATTATGTAACAAAATCATTTAAGCGACTCATTACATGCTTATTGTTTTGTTATAAAGCAGTTACTATTATTGTGTAACAAAATCATTTAAGCGGCTCATTACACGCTTATTGTTTTGTTATAAAGCAGTTACTATTATTATGTAACAAAACTTTTAAGCGACTCATTACATGCTTATTGTTTTGTTATAAAGCAGTTACTATTATTATGTAACAAATTCATTTAAGCGACTCATTACATGCTTATTGTTTTGTTATAAAGCAGTTACTATTATTATGTAACAAAATCATTTAAGCGACTCATTGCACGCTTATTGTATGATATAAAGCAGTTACTACTATTATGTAACAAAACTTTTAAGCGACTCATAACTCATTGCACGTTTATTGTTTTGTTATAAAGCAGTTACTATTATTATGTAACAAAACTTTTAAGCGACTCATTACACGTTTATTGTTTTGTTATAAAGCAGTTACTACTATTATGTAACAAAACTTTTAAGCGACTCATTACACGCTTATTGCTTTGTTACAAAGCAGTTACTACTATCGAAAACTTTTAAGCGACTCATTACACGCTTATTGTTTTGTTATAAAGCATTTGCCACTATTATGTAACAAAAGCATTTAAGCGACTCATTACATGCTTATTGTTTTGTTACAAAGCAGTTACTACTATTCTATAACAAAACTTTTTAGTGTGATTACACGCTAATTGTTTTGTTACAAAGCAGTTGCTATTATTATGTAACCGCAAAACTTTTAAGCGACTCATTACACGCTTATTGTTTTGTTATAAAGCAGTTACTATTATTGTGTAACAAAATCATTTAAGCGGCTCATTACACGCTTATTGTTTTGTTATAAAGCAGTTACTATTATTATGTAACAAAACTTTTAAGCGACTCATTACATGCTTATTGTTTTGTTATAAAGCAGTTACTATTATTATGTAACAAAATCATTTAAGCGACTCATTACATGCTTATTGTTTTGTTATAAAGCAGTTACTATTATTATGTAACAA